TAGATAGATAGATAGATAGATAGATAGATAGATAGATAGATAGATAGATAGATAGATAGATAGATAGATAGATAGATAGATAGATAGATAGATAGATAGATAGATAGATAGATAAATAAATAAATAAATAAATAAATAAATAAATAAATAAATAAATAAATAAATAAATAAATAAATAAATAAAAAAGATATCATCACTGTGGGGAGGGGGGCGATGATAACTTCCTCAATGGCTCAAGGGGGCGTTTCTTTCAAAAAGGTTAAGAACCACTGCCTTAGACTATGTCCAATAATGAGAAATTAACCCCCAGGGACATCTCATGGGAAAGCCTAATTAGGAAGCCTTTCTCACAACACACATGGTATTCAACTTCAGATACTTCAGTGCAAAATATCTGTCTTCTGCTTCAATTACTTATGAACAATGTGGTAAAAATTTGTACGCTCCAGGTTTGGACAGCAAATGCTGGCTGCTCACAATGCTTGCTTCAAATTGAGGCAAGCATTACAACTTCCCAAGTTCTTTACCTTAAGTTGAAATCTTTGCTATAAAAGAACACTTTCCTCCACCTTACTTGCTGCTTACTATGTTGTTTCCACAGCAATTAGGTGCTTCTCAAAAAAGCAGTGGAGGAAGAACCAGTTGGGAATCTTTCACCCTGCTATTAGACTACTGCTTCAGTCAAGCCCTGGGAGGACCATATTGTTCAGTGCTACTATTTATTTATTCATTTATCTATTTAAAATATTTTGCCCCACCTTTCCCTTTAAAAAGGACCAAAGGTGGCTTACATCATTAAAAGACAATGTTTAAACGCGATTAAACAAATATTCTATTAAAAAGGTAACTCAAATCAATACTAAAACAGATTTAAAAGCAAAACAATCCATTTTAGACCAATCTCTGACAGCCAGTCACAAAGAGAAAGGTCTTTGTTTGCTTGAGGAAGGAGAACAAAGATGGGGCCAGCCTGGCTTCCTGTGGGAAGGAGTTCCAAAGTCTGGGAGCAGTGGCAGAGAAGGCCCTCTCCCATGTTCCTGACTCCCATAGCACTGGTGGACCTGAGCACTGAAGAATTAGGGCTGAGAAAGAGAAAGTGAGGGCCTTCTTATACAAAATGTTGGTTACAGAAGATCCATTTTATGAGTGGGCATCTGCCAGCAAGATGTAGCCCAAAATGCTTATTTTGTAACATCCAGAATCAGTGTGCCCTTAAAAGAAAGATTTGTAAGACAAGCTTGCCTTTCTCTGCATTTGGAAAGTTATCTTGCTTTTTGTTATAACTTGTCAGTCATAAGATAGCATGAGCTTATTTGTGTGTGCAATGGGTCAGACTTGTTGGAAAACTTGCATGGTGTGGAAAGATAATTTTGTAAGAAAAGAAAATACATTTTTTTGCCTTAATATGTGATCTAACCCTGACAGACTAATAGTCTATCTAATTAATTAATTAATTAATTACTAACTAACTAATTAATTAGAATCTGCTTGCCTTGTAAGCAGCTAAATGCAGAGCTGTAAATCCATTTCTTGTCAATCTTGATGGGCGCAGTCCTTTCAGCATCAGAGTCCTAATGTGCGATTTATTACCTGCATAGTGAATATTGCAAAGAAATGAACAGAATGAAAACAAGAGTTGCAGCTTCAACAATAATCCTTTAAAAGTATAATACTTGCAGTAGGAAACCTTTGCCCTCAACCTATCCATGCTCACTCATCAGTTAAGTCTCAGTAAGGTACTTCAGCTCTTCATGTTATACTGGAAAATGAAATGTATCAATTCAACGTAATGAAATAAACTTTCTGAATAAGTATTGCGAAATACATCTGTGTCCAGGGGTGTTTGCCAGCAGAGGAGATTTTGCCCCTTCAGTCCATAGTTTACCACCCTCCCCAACAACCTGCTCTGGACATTTGGGAACCTTGCTTAAGAGCTTCATGGCGTAGTGGTTAAACTGCTGTACTGCAGCCAAAACTGTGCTCATGATCCTGGGTTCAATCCCAGGTATGTGGCTCAAGATGGATTCCGCCTTCTATCCTTCCGAAGTTTATAAAATGAGTACCCAGCTCAATGGGGGCAGCAAGGAGGCAATGTGCAGCCTACATAATGAACTTGTAAACTGCCAGAGAGTGCTTTAAGCGCTATTGGACGGTATATAAGCAGCACATTCTGCTTTCTCTTCTGTATTATTTGTTCTTCCCCATGATTCATGGCTATTCTTATGCATATTTTATTTATAAATGATATCAGCTCATGCGGGAGGAAATAAGGAGCACTGCAAGCAGAACTGTAACATTTCCTAGTTATTTTTAAAATTCTCCGCCACTCCCCACTGCAGGTCAAAATAGTGATTACTGTGTAATCTCATCCTTATCATAGGATAAATCTAATCTAATCTTAAATCACCTTTGATTGTTGTTTAGAGCATCCCTCCTGATGCCTATACATAATTCAACAAGAAACAGAGCCAGATTTAAAAAAAAACAATAACATTCCTGCAGTTTATTAAAAAGAAGCAAAATTATTAAATGTATCAATAAGAGGGATATAATGCAACATGAATGAACACTTACCATTACAAATACAACACAAATGTAGAAGAGACAGCCCATTTTCCGTACGGTAATTCAAATTCACTTTGCTAAAGGCTTCATCAGAGCTGTAAAAAAGGGATTTACACATGACAGCAAATTTAATCTTGCAGAATACCTTCTTTTATTGAGGAAGGGTTTTTTTAAAGGGAAAACTTCAACTTGACTTCATAAAAACAGGGGGATGATTTTCTTCCACCAGTTTCAAAACCAGAGTTCAACCCTATTCATTGACTGAATGAATTGAAACCTATTCACTGATTATCAATTAAATCTCTTTTAAAAGCTTTCTCGATAACAAAGGTGTGTTTGGGGGATGTACGGACTCCATGCACTTTGGGGGGTCCCTAGCATACCTACTACCCCACAAGGTTCCCTTGCACCCTCTGGAAGGCAGGTTTTTAAAAAGCCTCCCAGTACTCAGGGTCTTCCAGACACCGCACACAAAAGTTTTTTTAAAAGGTTCACTAGAGGGTGTAATGTGTATTTTTCAAGATTAAAAAAATGAAAACAAAAATGCATTGAGGTAGAGTTGAGAATAGGCATGGCCATTCAAGGTCCATAAATGGGTTTGTGTGGTTTCCGGGAACTTTAGAGGTTGCTCCCCCCTGCTATAAAACTTGGTGTAAAGGAGAAAAAAGAAGGGTGTTAAGAGAGGGAAGAACGGACACCTGAACAATAATCTAGAATCATTCCTCACTACACAGACCTTCCTAAATTGTATTTCTTCCTCTAAACTAATGCTTTATCCTCATGTCAGAAGAAGTAAGAGTTCCTTGCAGATCCCTATCACCCAAGACTCTTTTAAATCAATAGAGTATTAGGATGACAAATTCTCTGAATATTGTTTTTCAACAGTTATTCATTTCAGTGATGGTCTTCCAAAATCCTGCTAACCATGCCTCTTATTTCTATTTTTCAATAAGTGTTACTTGATCCAATTCATATCACTGAGTAGGCTGATCTGTACACACAGCACATAATGTGATACATTATTTTTCGTAAAACAGTGGTTCCTAAATGGGGGTCCCCAGATGTACTTGGACTAAAAGTCCCAGAAGCCTTCACCACTAGCTGTGCTGGCCATGATTTCTGGGAGCTGTAATTCAAGAACATCTGGGGACCCAAGGTTGGGAAACCACTGTTCTAGAAGATGCAGCTTCAGGCTGCAGGTGGAGGAGGTTGTATTTTTGAATGCTTCTCTACATTTTTAAAAAATCTGCTATGTAAGAAATGAGCATAAAAGGAAAAAATTAAACCTAGTACCCTTCTCTCTGAACTAGTTAGAAGCATCTTGCAAGAAGGCGGCCTTGCCTTACATGTTCAACGAAACTATAGTTTATTCATAAGTAGGAATGCTTGAGTTAGATTGCAGTTAGATTGAGGATCATGAACTGTGCCCTTGCTTCTTCTCCCACATCGCTGGAAGGAAGATCTCAGAAATCTTTACTTTCCTTTTTGCTTCATGGTTTGTTCTGTCATCTGGAGTGATGAACCAGTTAACTCAACTGTGGTCTGTTTCAGTCAAGCCAACTCTTATGCTGCTGAAGCTGGGGTGTTGAAAGCAACAATTGTTAATGGGCTAATCATGATTCTGGATGATGTTTTGGACCATGCTTCGCAAGACAGGTTTTTTTCGGGATTGATTTTCGCAAAACGACGATTTTGACAGCTGAGTCCACGACTCGCAAAATGGGTGTTTTCGGGACCGCTTTTCGCAAGACAGCGATTTTTACAGCTGATCCGCGCTTTGCAAAACGGTTTCTGTATAGGCGATTTTCGCAAAATGACAATAGTTTTTCCCCATTGGAATGCATTAAACGGATTTCAATGCATTCCAATGGGGAACCACATTTTCACAAGACAGCGATTTTCACTGAACAAATTAACATCGTCTTGTGGGGCACCACTGTATAGCCTATTAGTTTGGACTTTTAAGGGATTTCCCTCAGCTTCCTTAAGCTGCCGCCAATGCTAAGTCAGAATGTTTAGAGTGAGAGCAACTAGCTAGGACAAAAGGACACAGATACTGTGTTTTCTTTTCTATTAGCTTAATAATTTGAAACTAAATCCTGTTTTTCTGTAGAGGTTAGGCATTTAGCCTATGCTTCACTGACACTGATGAGACATTCTCAGATGGGATTTAGATGCCTTAGCTGCTTGAAAAATGTGCCTCATTTATCACTTGCTTTAGTATGTAAGTTACCGTCTCTCTTTGAAATAGAGGGATCTGAGGAAAAAAAATGTCTTTGAACAGATCATATATATTCACACAAATGTATACATGTTGCCCAGCATGACAGATAATTGAGGGGGCTGAATTTTGCTTGGAAAATTAAAAGTAATAGCTTGTCATTATGGTTTCATGGTGTCTCAAAGCGGTTAGTTACCAATTTGTTGTTATATGCCATCAAATCAGAATTGATTTATAGCAACCCCATAGGGTTTTCAAGGTAAATGAAGTATTTAAGGAATGGTTTTTGCCAGTTCTACCCCATCCCCAGTGAGTCTCCATGTCAAAGCTAGGGAATCAAACACATTACTGTATTTATTTATTTATTTATTTATTTGATTTTTACCCCGCCCCTCTAGACCATGTCTACTCGGGGCGGCTTACAAAATAATACTACACCACACTGGGTATCCTCAGTTACCAATATTTATATATATATATTTTAAAAGCTGACTTCTTTCCACTTCTTAAAAGTCAGATTTCTCAAAAATAAAAGAGTTACCTTTGTTACTTCAAGCACGTGAATTCTATTAGCCCTCTCCTGGCCTCAGCTGTAAAACATACTCTCTTCCTTGTTGTTGCCTCAACATGCATAGCAGGGCACAAGGAAACTGCATGAGTCAAAGCAAGGACCGTGCACTTGCCCTCTTCTATTATTATTTAGAGTTCATAAACAAATTAAGAAGTTACAGTTATGCTATGTTACTATGAGCTAAAAAGAATACATCATCCAAACACTATAGAAGAATTAATAACATTATATTTAAAATCTTAGGTAAAAGAATTATGAAACAGGTTTAGAAGCAACATAAATGAAACCATTCTGTTTATTGTCTCCCCAGTTAGTCAGGAAGCTTTCAAAATTAGACATGCAAAGCAAACCATTGTTTATTGTTATTCCAATTGACAAGTCATGCTTCTGCCTTTCACAAGTTTTCCTAATCAAACTGTTTTCAATCCTTGAGGGAGCACAGCCTCTAGAAATGCAATCAATTCCTTGCCTGGTGAGGCCCTTCACTGGAAAACATTGTTGCAGAAAGGATTTTATTGTAAGCCAATAGTTGTGTTAACTAGTAGCCTCCAAGTTCTGAGAGTTAGTTAGCAGAATTTGTCTGTTCGTTAAGAGGCAAGTTTCTGCAGTAATATATTGGCTGATAGAAAACTTAAGTATTCCAACCAAATCATCACCACTACAACCACACATAAGTGGAGGTTTAATGTCTAAAATTTTAAAGGCCTGCATGCTGTTGGATAGCTCAGTGGTATAAATATCTGGCTGCAGAGGGGGAGGCTGGGAGTTCAATTCCTTATTGTGCCTCCTTGACAGGGCCTGGACTTGATAATCGATTTGGCCCCTTCCAGTTCTGCTGTTCCATGATGATGAGGAGGACGAGGAGGATTAGGAGTGGTGTAGGGACCAGAAAAGGAAGCCAGTAAGAACAAGTTTCACAGTGGTTATCTATGCATTTTTGAAATACTGGAATTTGATTTTTCTTTAGTACTAGATTTAGAAATATTTGTACACTTTCTATTGTACTTATCAATCGTCTGAAGTACAGTGTTTCTGTTTTTTGTATGTGCAGTTAAAATACTTTTATTTTAAGCTAGTCCTAAAAGAGAGAGCAATTTTCTCCCCTTTTCAGACTTTCTGTACTAATTGTGTGCATGTCAAACTCTCCAGCCACGGAATGCCACTTATGCATTCGAATATTCAAAAGCCAATTTATTTTTTAATTTTCTTCTATGCTTTTTGGAATGCCATGGTACATTTTAATATAGCCTAATGATTTCATGGTGCCTGTTAAGGAAGTATGTGGATGAAGTGAATAATTAAAATGAAGCCATTATTGCTAATGCATTGCTAATATTATGCCCCTCAAATAGGATAAATCGCCACATTGCCTCATTAAAAAAATGATATGCGGCATTTGAACCTGAAGCAAACATGTTTTAGCAAAAATGCAGGCTATACTAAAAAAAAAGTTACAGAATCTGCAGTTTTATGATTCATTAACTGTGCTTGCTGACCTCCTTTCCACCACTGCATGTCAGAGCAGCAAAAGAGAATTCATTAATAAAAACAAAGTTGGAGTCAGTGGCAACAATATTAATATGTAAAATGAGGTTTGGAAATAAAAAATATACATAAACCACATTTATAATATTAGATGTAATTTGACAATGCAAGGTTTTCTTCCTTTCACTCTGTCATCATTTGTGGCAACCATGATGGAGGGGGGGAGAGAAATAATAAGAATTAGGAGAGTGGGCTTTCGGCCTACACCTCTTAGAATCCTCCAGAAAACATGGACACTGCCCGTGAGGAATTGGAGATTCTGGGAACTGTAGTTCACAAGAGTAATGTTTTCAAGTTCTGCAAAGGAGTGATTTTAAAAACCGCAGGCTTTTATTTGAAGGCTACATTTGAAAACGGATCTGAAGCTAGTTTAGCCAATTTCTGTTCCTTGCATTTATCACCAAAATTATTTTAAGACAAATGAGCTTATTTTTTTGAAAAGGTTAGAACAAATTCCCTCCCCCACCGTTTTAATTGCTTGAAGTTTGTTTCGACATAAATAATTCGACAATAGGTCAGTTTGCCTTTCGTCTTCCCTTGAGTATTCCCCACCATTATCGGCAAAGCTGAATTGTAATTAAGAGAAGATAGTGCACGTTTTGCAGTGCAGTGGGTGATTTCTATCTCACTGAAACTCTGGACATTTTTGTTGTTGCTGTCAGAGAGGTGAGGGCAATTACTGTTCAGCCTCAATGACCAGATGAGGCAGGGATGAGAGATCTGTGAAACATCCAGCTTGCATAATTATTACATCAGCAAATATGGCAGGAAATGCTCCAGGATTAAGACAGTCAGAGTCACATTATTTTCTCTTTACTTTGTGACATACAAGTCCAAGTGGATTCAGGGTTCGCAATTTGATTCATGGCTTTATAGCTCAGGCTTTAGGCCATGCCCCTTCACTGCCCCCAAACTGCTTTAAAATATATAACTTTTAATTACAATGTAAATGCACATAAAATTCATCGTTATCATCTCCATCATGGTGGCGGTGGCATGTGCCCACATTTTTTACTGCATGCTTGAGAGCATGCAGTCCTTGCCAAATAGTCAAGCAAACATATATCTTTGCAATAATTCTGGGGAAACAGGTTCTTGCGGGTGGTCAACTTTGGTTGTAAAAATAAGTGGCAAAGAAATGGTTAATCCATTTTCCCCGTGCTTGTTAGTACAATGAACTTAGCAGCGTTCTTCCCCACTGCATTTTTCCTACAAAGATGAAACACTACCCACAAGCAATTGTGTAGTTTCAACCCCAAAAACTGACTTAACAGCTGCTCTAGCAATTATTACTCCTAGTACCACCCACATATGTTAATTACCATATCTATTGTCACTTAATGTCAAAAGTGACTTAAATTTCCTGAAAAAACTCAACTGCACACATGAACACTGCCTCTCAGGTTACAGTGAAGGTCAACCTTGTTAACTGGTCCACTCAGATCAAATCTGGAGCTCAGAATTATATGTACAACTGGTGCTCCACTGGCTTCCTTTGTTTAAGCACTTGAAGTCCATTTTCTACACAACACTAGAATAAAAACATAGAGTAGGTAGCACTGCGGGGAAGTGGAATATGCCAGCCACACCAATTGTCATAATATATTACAATACCTAGACTACTGAGTGGCTAAATATGTTTCACTAAGCCCACAAGAACAAAATTCGTATTTTTTTTCCTTAAATACTGGAATATACAACTCTGGTCAAATCACTTACCAGAAGACATGCTTTAGTTCTGTAAGTTCCTTTTCTTTGATTGACAGGTCATCTTCTAATCTTTCAATGATTATAGCATATGATTCACTAACTTTTTTCTTCCATTCATCTACAAGGAGGAGAAAAAACATATGAATCTTAAAATACCTTTGGATATATTTAAAAACAATCTTTCAGTAATTGAGCATTTGATCATTAATTTCTACTCCAAATCACTGTGTGGCAATGATTCTATCTGGATGTGTATGTTTGCTATATAAACATGTTGGTCCAATCACTTTGTTAACTAAAAAACTGATTTAACTATAATACAGAATTAAAAAATACAAATGAAAGTTGTCAACCATTGTTATAGGTTGTTGCTTTTTTACTTTGAAATAACAGAATGAGGAAAAATATCATTTTCATAAAGCAGCAGTTAGCTTCACAAACAAATTTATTTGAACAGACAGTTGAATATATATATATACACACACACACACTAACTTTTCTGTAACTCTGTCTTTCAAATGCTAAGAAAACCTAATTTCCCACATGCCATTAGCTAGACTATCAAGCCTGGCATTTGAACAAAGTCAATTAGAAAATATTTTTGATAATGCATTTGCAGTACAGTTTCTCTAAAAAAATAGATCAAGATTAATTACCAGTGCAAGTTTGGGTTGGTCTAGATTTATAGTTCCCCATGTATTCAATACTTCTTCTCTGTTTCAACCAAGTTCTCGTGGTAATATGATTCTTTGTTCAAGAGCACTGACCGTCTCACTAAGAAAAAAAAGTAGCACTTTGATAGTCTTGTACCTAAAAATAAACTGTGTGCCAAATGGATTGTCATGTAACAAAGGCTCAGAGCAAAACAGTGTGCAATATCAAGTGTACAACAAAAAGGTAACTAATCATACTGTTGGCATACAAGACCAGGCTTGCTTGCTAATATTCTTGTTGAAGGTGCATATATCAAATGCATATAAATACCTAAAAAGCTGCTACCAACTTGCCATTTCTGGTTGTTAGGTCATTTAGGGCACCTTAAATACTAACTTTGAGATTCCAGTGTGAGCTTTTGTGGATAAATCCACTTTGTCAAACATATTAGAACTGAATGAAACTAAAACTACAGGTATATTCAGGGCAGGTGCATGGAGGTGGAAATGGCATTTTTGACACAAATAAGAATGCTGATTATATACCTGTCCCGGTTTAAACAGAGTTTCACATTTGCTGAGAGGTGTAAAGGGAGCAGAAGATTCCTTTTGGAGAAATCTTGCTGCAGTGGTTGTTTTAGTGGTCTAATGTCACTATCACCTTTGGATAAAGAGTGAAGAAGACAGGCAGAAGACAGTAGGAAGAAGAGTTTATTAATGCAGATGATGACATAAGAAACCCTGGTTGATATTTAATTCTTTTGACACACTCTGGAATTTATGTATGAATGTGATCTCAGCTGTCTCTCTTTATAATCATTTCCCCCCCCCTCGCCCCACAACAGTAGCTTTCAAGTCATTGATAGAGTATCCTGGCAGATTGAATCATTCTGAAAAAGGGTTATGTATGTTGCTATTTCTGATGTCAGATTTATGTCCTTTAATTGCACAGAAACTATCCTGTTTGTCCAATGCAGTGTGCACGTAGGCATTGCTGGCAAAGGATGGCATAGAGCACGTTGGCAAGTAAACGAGCCTCTGATATTTTGAAGCCTGCATCTGCCCTTCTGTGCTGACAGAATAGATGTGGGGAAGAGTTGACATCTAGGTTTGGTCCCCATCGCTGTATCCATGTTGTGTAGTCTGTTCTGTGCCAAAGATGGTTCGATATCGGGGGTTATCTGTAAGCAGGCTGGCCACCAAGGGCTTGGGACACTGAAGTATTGTTGTCTAAAATGGGTTGTAGATCAATGATGATGTGTGTGAGTGGTTTCGGTTGTGAGCTGAAGGGGATAATGAATGGTATTCTGTCATTTTCTCTTCTGGTTCTGTCTTGTAGTAGGTCATTTGAGGATATCTGTCTTACTCTGTTAACCTGCTATCTTGGGTGGATGTTGTAGTCTGAGAAATGCTTTCAGTAGATTTATGAATTTGAGGTCTCTGTCCTGTGGATCTGAGCAGGTTCAATTATATCTAAGTGCTTGGCTGTAGACAATAGACTTGATGGTGTATTCAGCAGGGACGGGGATTCAAGTCACATGACTCGCTGTCAAATCAGACTTGAGCGGTACCAGTAACTTGATCCAGACTCAACTCTGTTTTTCATTTCAGTGACTCGGAATTGACTTGTGACTTGGAACCCACCCACCTCCTTCCTTTCTTCTGGGGGAAAAAACTTGTTTTTTAAAAGGGACTCGGCCTTGGTGCTTGGGACACAGGACCTGGTACCAAGGACTCAGACTTACGACTTTGACCCAAAGACTTGCCAACATCGCTTGGTATACAGGGTGGAAGATGAAAGCATGCAAGTACTGTAACTGGTTTTTAATAAAGCATGGTGCAAAGATGTCCATGTTGTAGCTTCACAGTTCAGAAAATGCACCGGCTGTGTAGATTAGGGCTGAGATTGATGATAGGATAAAAGCTATTAGATTCTGGTTGAATTTCTCAAGTGCTTATTTTCCACAGGTCCAGATAATAACAATGTCATCAATGTATCCCAGATAAAAGAGTAGTTTGGGGGCACAGCAGTAAGAAAACATTATTCCAGGTTAGTCATGGATACATTTACACATTGTAGTGCCATATGAATGCCCATGGCTGTTCCATCAATCTGGAGATAGATGTTGCTGTCAAACATGAAGCAGTTTTGTGTGAGCACAAAGTCATAGAGAACAATTGCCAAGTAGGCTGTGGCCTCATTCAAAACGGTACTTTCAATGTCCCATAGTTCATCCTTCTGTGGAATGTTGCTGTAACAACATTAACAGGTTTTTGTGTCCACAGTGGCCAGCATGATGTCGGGGAGGTTATGAGTGGATTGCTGTTTCCTCAGAAAGTCATCTGTGTCTTTTACGTAGTGAGGTGCATTGGTGGCATACGGTTTAAGCATGGAATCCAAATATCCAGACACCCCAAACTGTGGTGCCATTGATGCTTGATACAATGGTCCTATTAGAGTTGCCTAGGTTGTGTATTTTTGGTGGCAAGTAGAAGGTGGCTGGCTGAGGTTCTTCTACTGTATCAGCCAGGACTTGATCATATATATTTCTGGGGAAATCTTTCCTGATGTTTTGTAAATCCTTAGGTATTTGTCAGTTAAGACTGGGGTTAGGGGCATATAAAATTTGGAGTTTGACACTTGTCTCTTAGTTTCTTATATGCATTTCAGTTTGCCCTGTATTGTAAATCGGGTCCTTTGCTGACAATCCCAGCCTAATCGTGATGGGAGAAGCACTCAATATAGATGCCTAGCTCTTTGTTCTGACCTTCAGGAGAATTCCATCTAGCATTCTTTCTGTAGGGCTGAGAGGAAGAGACAAAAGGTCAGCGTGTTGTTCCTCCCCATATTGTGGAGAATGTGGTGTAGTTGTGCTAGTTGTTGTCATATTTGTGCAAATATTCCTTGAGCTGTCGTCTATGAGGAAAGGCTTCCAAGTCATCACAGAGCTCCATCATCTGTGTGGGTTTGGTGAACTAAATGCCACATAGTTTTGGTTGCATCTAGATATGCTTGCATAGACTAACATTGCTGTTTCTTTGAAAAGTTTATGGAACAACAACTGTCGAGGGATAATAGCATGTTATGTAAAACAGGGGTGAGCAGGTTTCAGGTTATCAGGATCAAAATACTGTAGTTGCTAATTTTAAAATCAAAACACTGAGTTATACACCCAGGGAAGGTCCACCCCTGAGTACAAAGATGCCCCATGGAGGCGCAGAATCCAGAAACATGTTGAGAATTAAGGAATGGGGTGTCCTGAGCCTGTGCTCAGCCCAGGAATTTATGACCAGCTCCAGAACCAAGCATACAAACACTTTCCCATGCAAGTCCAATCCTTTCTTTCCCACAACCATTCTTCTTCAGCAAGCTAATTTTTCAGGAAGTTTGGAGGTTCTCCATGCAAGCCACCACTCAGGTGTTTTTTTAGGATTCTGGCTCACGAGGAGACAGTCCACACATCGAAGAGGCTCTCCTTCTTAGAAATGTTGTTTTCACATTCAGCAAAGTGAAAAAGGAGGAGAAAGAGCTTGCTCCCATCCTTTCATGTCCACTTGACATGCCAAATGCCTGGATAAGACTTACCTTTCTTGATTTTTCATAGATTCATCAGGTTGTAAAACACTGTTATGTCCTTGTATTGCCTTAGGTTTCAGAGTCTGAGAGGGAAATGTTCCCTTTCAGCTTTGTTTTGCTTGCTAGAATTCTTCCTTATTGCAGAAATGTGAACTTCTAGGAAGCAGATCTAGGACTAAAGAAGAACGGCCTGGTGTTTCTTTTCTTTAAAATCTCTTGATATCTATATTTTTAAAATATCCTGATTTTTTTTTTAAAGAAAGGGAGAAAGAAGCTGCAGCTCTGTCCCACTGGATCAGGGCTACAATGCTAAAAGAATTGTGTGTAAGTGCAAGAAAAACATCAGGACTTGAATAAAATGTATAAAATGTATACATATAAACTTCTATACAAAAAATGGCAAAAAGCAGAGAAACCTACATTATCAGTTTTATGGCTTTGCATGCCTGGAGTAATTTAGGTAAATCAGGCAGCTCACACCAAGCCATTTTCCCCGTCTGATTATTTCATAATAAACTTCTTGTTAGCTTTCATCTTCCCTTCAAAGAGCTGTCCTTTGCTCACTTTCTTCCTACTTCACTCTAATGAGAACTACCTTTTGACCACTCTTCCTGCCCCCCCAGCCGTTAAAAGTTCAATGTTGACCCTAAGAATGTTAAACCCTTATGTGTTGCAATATTTACTGCCACATTTAGGAGAAAAGAAAAGGAGGTGGGATAGTTAGGCCAAAGAATATTATGCCCAGAGATAGGAAAAAATTATTTGGGGCTACTCATCCCTACTCATAGAATCCTACAGCCAGCAGGGCCACAGTTAAGTTCTATGTCTGCATATATAAGGCAGGGCTAGAGGCTATTTTATGGTGTCAGTAGTATGTTGATGAAGAGTGGTCCAGTGGTGGGGGACCAAGTCCAAACAAAGGTTAACATGCCACAACAGGTATGGAACAGTACTGCCTTAAAGCACATGTTCAGCATAATTAAAGAATCACAGGGCATCCCAGTCCACTTACCTTGGGGGCCTGGTTTGCGCTTGGTGAGGACCTGAGTGCCTGAGAGCTAGCCATCATTTCCCCCTTGGCCTTGAGCGCTGGCTCCTTCCCAGTCTGCCTTGCATTTGGGAGGGTTGGCATAGAAAGAGGAGGAAGCCAGCCAATGGGGATTGAGGGAGGAAGTACAAAGGTGGCTCCAGCCAAAGCTCCAGCAGTTGATCAGCTGGTGAGGAATGCAGAGCAGCAGCTGGTGGTACTGGGTGAGCTGGATGCTTCTATGGGGTTTTCTCACCTGCTGGCTACCCTGTGGGGCATGTTGAGGTTGGCCTTGGTATGGACATAATATACCTTGAAATAGATGCAGGTGTTGTTTGGACACTTTAATTTCACCTGCAGAGCAGTGTCACTATGGCATGCCTTCTGTGATTGGCTAGCACAGATCAGAGCACCACAACATCATTTTAGAATCTTGAAGTATATGAGGGAAGATCTGAGTGTCTGTCTTCAATTTTTAGAACAGTTTAATGAGGTTTTTTTTCTGGCAGGATT